CCAACTCCAGACCTCCACTCCAGAATCCTGTTTGCATCTCCATCTCAGAACTCTGGTCTTAGCTCTGACCTCAGACTTTGACCCCACCACTGCTTATACCCATTGTATTATTGGTTAGCCCATTCCATTTATTTACCTTTGCCAATATTCCGGAGTTTGACTTCCAAGTTCGGACTTTCCGGACTTACTTTGGACCTTGCAACTATTGCATTGTCCCATTCAATTCCGCTATTCTCCCTCATTCCTATTTGGGCTGCTGCTTCCTTTCTATTTGGTCAGCTAGCCATTCCTGACTCCAATCCTGCTTCCATCCTCCTTGGGCCTTGGCCCTTCACTCCTCCTCTTGACCCTTGGTGCTGTTCCTCCTTCCAGCTCCCTTTGTCTCCTTTCAGACTACCCTTGTTGCTATAAAAATGGGGCCTAATTGGCCCATTTCTATAGCATCCGGGTGCAGGAGGGGGCCATGACATTGAGAAGATGTTACAATTAATGTAACAGATGTTGTAACAGTGGGGTTTACAATAACATGGACATCGGGTGTTTTGGGTGATAATCGTTGGTTAGGTTGTTATTATTTACATGTCACGTGATATTGTACTGCATAGAGCCCATAAGAGGCTAGAAATGGGAAAATTCCATTTCCATAACACTTGTTCCTTTTGATTCCAGACCTCTGCTTTATATACAATGTACTTAGTAACTTGTAACCTCAGTCCAAAATCAACTTGATTCCCCCCCTAAGAGACTTCCCCTCTGCTAGATCTGAAATTGTTGGAGAATATAATATGTTCCCAATAATATAGAGTTTAACAGCCTATACCAGCATGGCTCAAGGGCGAGTAGTGTATGGATGCATGCTAGAGGTCCTGGGTTCAATACCAGGCTTGTCCATGATTTTATGTCCTTGCCACGTGACCTGGATTTGAAGCCATTTGAATTGGAGCTCCGGATAAGTCCAGTAGTCGCACTGGATACAATTTCGACAGAAATTAGGGACCCCCAGGACAACCAGCAATGGCACAATGCTCCACCTGAGTCGCTGAGGCCAAGGTCCTTCCATGCTAAGTCTCTGGTTCCATTCTGGAACTGTCCAAATCCACCATATCTAACACTCTAGGGGGGAGTGCTCAAAACCTGGAAGAAATCATACTCCCAGAAGAAAATCTTCGAAAAAAAAGACCTCATTGAAGTGATAAAGTCTGGCTACAAACAAAACCAGATATACTGGGAAATCCTAGAGAATCCTGGGAACTTCCAAAACTTCTCCATAAAAGATGGGCTGATAACCTGACTTGGAGAAGGAGGGAAAACCCCAATAGTAGTTCCAAAAGGGAACTATGAGAGGAAGTCCATTTGAGGAATAATCCTCAAAAACATCCATGAAACCCTTGGACACAGGGTCCAAGAAAATGGTGGAAATCCTCTGTCAACATTTCTGGTGGAAATTGATGAGGAAGGACACCCACCAAACAACAAAGAAAAGCACCAGGAGAAATCCTGCTCCACCCACTCCTGACCCCAGAAACTGATGTCTAATGTCCACCTGATCCCAATAAAAACAACAACGAATGCATTGGAATTGGCATTCATATTCCTTCATGAAGTAGTAAGGCTTCACGGATTACCACACTGGATTGTATCAGACCGAGACTCCAAATTCATGTCAAAATTCTGGTGCAAACTACACCGAATACTAGGTGTGCAGTTGAAATTCACAACTGCATTTCATCTGCAAGGCAATGGCCAAGCAGAGATAATGATACAAAACATAGTACAAATACTACATGCAATGGTCAGACCAGATCAACATGACTGGGTGGTGTCAGAGACCAGGTTCAGGACGAGTGACGACATCCCTGTGAACAGAGGGCTACAGCCTCAGCAACTTATGCCAGGAGTGCTGTGCCCACTAACATGTCAGTGCCCCAATTTGTGGACTGAGGGAGAACTAGTTTGAGGGGGGAAACTCTAGTTGATCTTTTTACTGAGGTGTAACATATCTACAAGTTATGTATATATATAGTTACAGGGGGAGTCTAGATGGTGGGCCTGTCCGAAAAGTTACAGATCCGCTGCATCACGTGATATCCATTGCAACGCGTTGCTATGCATCTCAATGACTTACAATGCCTCAGCCAAATGTTACAATGCATGTACCAAATGCCATTTCATGGTGTATGACATTGTAAATGACCCCTGTATTTGTGTAGCAACAAACAAACAGATGTATTTTAATTTATAGAAAGTTGAATGGATATTTAAGGTTGGTGTGTGGGTGCCGACTGTCAGGGGACGATGTTGTGGGGACAACTCCGTGTACCGCAAAAAGTCGGATTCTGCGGAATTTGGTCACTAACACGCAGTACATATCCGCTGACGCTCCCGATACTCATTATATCACTATCCAACACTCCATACACTCACTCCATATTTTTCCTTATTTTCCCCATCATTCCCGACAGCCCCAAGCCAAATTCCCACGCCCAACCACGCTGCCAATTTCACCCCCTCTCCACATCTCAAGAACCACTGCACCAAATGGGATGAATAAGGGCTCGTTGGAAAGCTGGAGACGAGGAGGTTGCTGACGGGAGGATAGGCGGGTGCTGTGGCGAACTGTTGCGGAGTTAATCTTCACAATTCCCATTTCGGACCCGTTGTCACATTTTCCCCATTCACTCATATTTCTTTTATTGTTTCTTTGTTCCCAATTGGATATTCATCATTTACGGTTGCCTAACGGCCCGTTTACATTCCCCCAGTCCATTCATTTCATTTCCAACATATATAAACTAGATAACAGCTTGTACATAACAAGTTAGTATTGAATAGACCCGTGAAGGGACAAGCAGAAGTTGCATCCAAGTGGCAAAGACGCCATCCACGACCCTAACGCCCCCTCTGAGCTAGTTGTTCACGTCTAAGACCCCTCACATCATAATACTCAGCCTTGACGTCCAAGAGAGACGTAGGTGAGTGTTTGTTTGAGGTTTTTGCAGACTCAGTAGCACCCACGGACCAAGACCTGGCCCAACGAACCACACCTGCGCACACTACCACCCTCCCCCTTCTCTCTGTCTCGAGTCTAGGCGATAGACCCGTTACAACGACTCCTGGGTCCCCATGACCCTCCCCTATGGCCCACAGCCTCAGGTCTGGCCAGCCCTATCCAGGGCATAATCTACTACTGTGGGTAAGGAGATGAGAAGGAAGCTAACTTCTCATCTTCCCAAAGTGGCCACAATATCAAGCAAACTTCCGGGGATACCCGGAAGTCACATGAAGGGGTAGAAACCGGGTCCGGAGCATGCGGCGCGTGGAGCGTGCGTGCATGCAGGAAGCGCAGCGGGTGGAAGTGGGTCCAGATGCGGGTCCGGGTCCGGGCTAATCAGGGTGTGTGCCCTGACACCAACCCAGTGATGGTAGAAAGTGAAATCCCTTTACCTGACCCTGCACCATACATAAGTAAATACAGTTGTTTAGAGTGAGGAATAATGATAAAGATGATTAAAAAAAATGAATGCACAGTGTAGGGGGATGACCTACCATACCTTACACACTGCCGGTTTTTGCGGTTCTCACCTTATATGAGTTCCCCACATGCAAAGACCCCCAAGACATTTATATTGGCTGTGCCCAAATTCTAAAATCAGTGCAACTCATCATGGAGTGATGATCTTGGGCTCATAAAATAAAGAAAATTAAGTTACCTGGGATTGCTAAGTTTCATGTCAGAGATGGGCCAGATCAGGACCGCACTGGAGCCTCTTTTCCAAAAGGCTGACATTGACTGACCACTCAGTCAATTTGGATGGTGATATCTATACTGGCAAAATAGTTGCATGGCTATGGAAAGTCAAAGTCTATGAGGGAATAGTCCAACTCAGCCTCAAGTGTGATGACTATTGTCATATCCCAGAATCCTGACCCCACATTACCCCACTTCTCTACACCATGTCAGGGCACACACCCTGACTAGCCTGGACCTGGACCCACTGTCAAAAACCCGGATCGTAGGGGTAAATGCGTGAGTCCGAATGCAGGCAGGGCTTAACTAGAGGGGGATCTGAGAGCTCCGGTAGTGGACCGAAGCTTCTCCAGGAAGCCTGGTTCTTGTCACGACCCGGCGTTCCCCGGGGCCAGACGACCTCCTCCCTGACCCTCTCCCACGCCCGAACACTCCCCGCACACTCCGCCCGCCGCCCGTCGCCATCTAACCACTTCCCGCCACCTCTCCACAACCCCTCTCTTGATTGTCGTTGAATGACCTAGCGGCGCAGAGCGCCGCGACCTGTTGTCCCATGTTTCGCCGCACCTTGTTGCCTCGCGGCGAAGGTCACGCTTGACCTTCGTTGTCTTGAACACGTGCTCTTTGTTTGTTTTCCTCCTTCTTTTCTCCGCCCGCAATCTCCGCGAGATCTGGTGACTTGTTCCCTATTCAGTTTCCTAGCGCTTATATACAGCTTGTAACTAATGCTTGTACTGTAGTTCGAAATCAACTAGAATTACCCCCTAGAGCTTACCTCTGTCCCCGCGAGACCTCTGACCTTCTAAGTATCAGGACCGCGTCGAGAACGAGGCGCAACGCTCCTCCTAGAGTCGTTGAAGCCGAAATCCCGGCTCACTCGCCTAAGTAGCCTCGGCCTCGAGATTGGTGGGGTTTATCCCTCGCTAAAGCTCGGTCGGGTGTAGGACGCCTTTACCACTAGCGGGCAACGCTCGGTCGCCTACGGCTACCCTCGGCGAACCTTCGCACGGTTCTGACAGTTCTGCTGGATGGTACAAGAGGCTCTAAGAAGGACGCGGCCTCAGCAACTCGGAGGGAGCACTGTGCCTCCGTTATGTCTCAGTTAGTCCTTGTATTTCTTATGTCTGAGGTATCTTGTAGAACGGGAACAGGATTCACTCAGAGGGACTTTGGGTAGCATTTTAGTCAAGATTAGAACTGAGGAACTACAGGTTCTAATCTACGGGTATTTATGAAGGGGAATGGAAAGGACTTAGTCAAAGTCCGAATGACAATAGGACAACACCGAAAGGTGCCGAATGATACCGAGAGGTACCGAAAGGTCCCAAACGATATCTTTAACAGGGAACCGAGGTGTCGGACCAAGGAGGGCAGAGTAAGAGGCCGGAAAATGAATGGGAACAAGAAATGGGTAAGGGGGGTTAGCCGACTGAATGGTAAAGAGGATAGTTGTGCTAAGAATGGAAGGTGACTAATAAGTGATGACGTGAGTGAGATCACCGAAGGATGTGGGTAACTCCGAAAGCGGAGTTGCATATCCAAAGGATGTTGGGTGACTCAAATAAATGAAATGGGTGGAGAAATGGTTTAAGGGTATGTCACAGGATGTCGGAGGTCCATCAGGATATCGGAGCAAATCCAGAGTCTCCAAATGTTCCGACTTGGGAACGAGCTTCCGGGATGGGAGTGGCCAAGGTTCAGTGTGCCACAACCAGACCGGAGCTGAGACAGTCAGGAGGGAAGGTGACTTGGGGAGTGGGGAGGCATGGTGTAGGGGATGGTGAAGTTGTTAGGAAGGTGTGGTGTGGTGGGAGTGCGCGGGGTTGGGATTCCGGGATATGACACCCACTACACTTCCCATGTGCATTCCTGCACTGTGTTAGAACTGGGCAAGGGTGTCATATCTGTACATACTTGATCCCGAACCAACTCCTGGACCTCCTTCTTCACCACCTCCAGAGTCCTACCCTACCGCTGTCCATTCCGATATTCACCTTCAGTCCTGACACCACACCTCCTCTCACCCCTCATGCCACCTCCACTCCTCCGTCCTTCTCCTATCCTATCTCCGTCCGCTCCGATACTCACCTCGGACCGAACACCACACCTCTCCCACTCCTCTTCCTCCTCACAACACCTCCACCCTTCTGTCATTCTCCTACCCTTCACCTGTCCGCTCCAATACTCACCTTCAGACCTGACACCTTTCCTCTCCTCCACTCCTTTCCCCTTTCCTCTTCCCTCTGGCCCTCTTCTGCCAACCTTCCGCCAAGTTACGACCTTCCACTGCTGTCCCGTACCTTGTACTTGGACACTGCTTGTACCTTCGCTCCAAGACTCCATCATAGTTCCTACCTCGGACTTTGACTCCACCTCGGCTTTAGTCCATTGCATTGGTGACCTCATAAACACCATTGCCAATATTCCTCGGACTTTCAACCCCGCCTCTGTAACCTCCATAACCTCCGCAACCTCCGAGCTCCACGGATCATCTTCGGCACTTTCGCTGCTTGTAATAGGGGGGCTCATGGTTGAATAAATTCACCTAAACTGGATCTCAAGTGAGATTTCTCAAGTGAACCTGAAGTGACAAAAGTGCGTCAAAACTAGATCTAAAGTCACCACTTTAGGTCCTTCTCGACTTGGGGCTCAGGAGCCCCAATTCGCCTAAAGTCACCCATCTAAACTCGGCTTTAAAACTGAGTAAGTCCGCATTAACACTAACTGTACAGTTTGCTACCTAGGTCACCTGTCCGTTCCCTTCACCATGCTGCTGCTGCTGCTCGACATGGATATTGTTGTCACTGTTGTCATCAGTGTCCAAACTGGAACTCAAGAGTGGATCCTTAATTTTAGACATTGGCATTGTTGATGGTGACATGCATGTATTCACAGAGCATGCTGGAGGGCTGCATGTTGTCATGGCAGATGCGACACAAGGACGAAGGGGGAGGGGGCAGCTTCAGCCAAAGCATCAGAGGCACTAGTTTCATGTTCACTGTTTCCTTTGTTGTTGTCACAACCAACAAATCCTGGGGCTCCATCAGCAGCGAACCAATGCCGATAGGCGAATCTGCTGACCCAAAACCCATCCTAACCAGCCCCCAACCCCATGTCTGGCCCCCTGCCTTACTGCGTGAGACTTGGCCAATAATCAGAACCTAGACCCTGCCAGTATTCCGACCTTACCTCCAGTTCCTGAGCCCTTGGCACTCCTGGCATTCAGTCATGCCTGCCTTGTCTCCATCTGAACCACACTCATCGCTTCCCACTATGTGGTCACAGCCATGCCCCACTTCTGTGCATTCTGCACCCTCTGCCCACTCCGCACCCTCTGCCCATCTCTGCACCCTCTGGCCACTTCTGGTTGCCCTTGACACCTCTGTGTCATATCCATACAATCCCAACCTCCGCTCTGGGCTCCCGGAACTCCGAACCTGACTTCCGGAACCCTACTTCCCTTCCGTCACCTTCGGTCCGACTCCGGAACATTCCGGGTCCGACCCCAACCTCGACACCTTCCAGACGAGTATGCAAAACCTATGCTCCTGACTCCAGACCTCCACTCCGGAATCCCATTCGCGTCTCTGTCCCCGGAACCTCCGGTCTTAGCTCCAACCTCGGACTTTGACCCCACCTCCGCTTATACCCATTGTATTGGTTAGCTCATTCCATTTAATTATGTTTGCCAATATTCCGGAGTTTAACTTCCGAGTTTGGACTTTCCGGACTTATGTCGGACCTTGCAACTATTGCATTGCTCCATTCAATTCTGCTATTCTCCCTCATTCCTATTTGGGCTGCTGCTTCCTTTCTATTCAGTCAGCTAGCCATTCCCCACTCCCAACCTCCTTCCTTCCTCCTTGGGCCTTGGCCCTTCACTCCTCCTTTGGGAAACACCATTGAGTCAAACCCTTGACCCTTGGTGTTGTTCCTCTTTCCATCTCCCTTTGTCTCCTTTTGTCCTACCCTTGTTCCTTTTGATTCCGGACCCCTCCTTATATACAATGTACCTAGTAACTTGTAACCTCAGTCCGAAATCGACCTGAATTCCCCCCAAGAGACTTTCCCTCTGCTAGATCCGAAATTAGGGACCCCTAGGACAACCAGCAATGGCACAGCGCTCCGCCTGAGTCACTGAGGCTGAGGTCCTTCCATGCTAAGTCTCTGATTCCTCTCCGGAGTCGTCTGAATCCGCCCGTTCTAACACTCTGGTCAGGTCAACACTCCCACTCCCCTCTGTACCTCTGTTGGCCTTCATGCTGTCCTTGTGTGACAGTGCTGGCAGATCAACCTCTGTTTGCAGACTTGTGTTGGCACCGCACCAACCCCGCTTATTTGCGGACTTGTATTGGTGCTGCGCACTGACCCCCGCTTTTGTCCTTTGTCACTTGGCAACAGAACATTCATTCCCTGCTGAGTGCCTATCATGTTCACCCCAATATTGGCATTTGATCTGTGTGCTATTGCACTTTCCTATTCATTCATTTAATATGTCAATATTGGTACTTGATCCGCTTTGACCTTATTCATTCCTTGCCTCCCATTTCCCAGGTTCTTGTCCTTGGTTTAGTTTGACAAGTCCCCACTCATTTCCGCTTATTTCCGTACCGGACCGACTGGTCCCTCTTTTGATTTCTCTTACCTACTTATACCTTGTAAATACTTTCGGGGACCTCAGTCTGAAATCAACTAGAGTACCCCCCCTGTCTGGTCTGAGTCTCTCCTTCTGTAAAGGGGGCTTCCCCCCCTCTGAGTCCGTGCTCACGGAGTCCGCGCTCCTCCTACAGTTCCACTCCACCTGCAAGTCTTGTTTGAAGTCCGCTGTGAGTGTCAATCTGTAAATACGGGATCTCCCCCAAACATCAAGCTCAGGGCACAGTGCTCCACCTGAGTCGCTGAGGCCGCGATCCCACTCTGCTAACCTTGAACAGCACTTCCGGATGTGCTGCATATTTCCGCCCGCATATCCGCACATGCGCTCCAACAGACCTCTGCATCACCTCCGATCTCAACTCAGACAGAACCCAATCCATCTTCCATCTATCTTCTGACAGTTTGTCCGACTCTGACAATAATCCAGTCTCTGACAGTTGTCATTAGCCCAATGGATTGTACATTACACCTATATAAACAACATTGTGCTCTAGCTTGACTTCACGCTCCCATTCGCCCAATTCTTCGTCAAAAGAACCAGTTCAAAGGCTTGACTCAGTCGCGATGGCAATTGATTCTATGTAATGTGTTCAACGTTGTAACGGGGATTTGCTGGTGTACCATAAACAAGCCAAATCCCGCGATTCTACCACCTTTAGCCAATGTTCTCTCCTGCATATTTCTTATTTTTCCTGATTTTTCTGATTCCATTTCTAGTCACTAGAGCCCGATGTTTCCCTTATTGTTTTTTCCTTATTTGTCATTTTCGGATTCTTCCATGATACCGTGACCAGCTGTATAGTTAGCTAGACAGCAGAATCCACTCCCAGTCAAACAAACCTGTGCAAGCGACCACTCCAACCCTCCCCCTCTCTTCTGTCTCGAGTCTAGTGGTGATAGACCCGTTACAACGTAAATATGCTCTGAGGTTGTTCCTCCAACAGAGCACACCATGTGTATGAGGAGCTGGCAGTCGGAAGTAGATGGCATTCGGATGTATAGTGATTGCATGACACAGAATGGACCGGACTTATGAGATCCAGGCCTGAGCTACTTTGGACACACTTTAGAACCACTCTAACTGTGAGTGCCCTTGAAGCAACCTAAACTCGCTCTAAACTGAGGCCCCACTTGAGGTGGAATTTAGGTCAATTTTGAACAACTTCAGAACCCAGTTTAGCTCCACTTTAATCAACCGTGAGGCCCCCTAATGTATCTTTCACGTTTCCCCCTCATCCCTATTTGGACTGCTGCTTCTTCCCATTCTAGCCAGTTAGTCATCATCCCCACTTCCCCTCATCCTCCTGCCCCTCTGGGCTTCACCCTCCTTACCTCCTTTCGGATGTACCACAGGTTCTGCCCTATGACCTTCGGTACCGCTCCGCTTCTGTCATCCCTTTGTCCCCGTTCAGACACCTTTGTTCCGATTTGGACCCCCTTTGTTTCCTTGTGCCTTTGCCCTCTCCATTATATATATCGGTGCTTGTACATACTCGTTTTAGGCCTTAGTCTAAAATCGACCTGAAATGCCCCCTGGAGACTTCCTGCTCGCTGCCTATGAAATTAAGGACCAAATGGACAAACAGCAATGGCACAGCGCTCCGCTTGAGTTGCTGAGGCCAAGGTCCCTCCTTGCTAAGTCTCTGGTTCCCCTCCAGAATTGTCCACCCTCACCCAGTTCTAACAGAGGGCAGAGGGGAACTGGAGACTTAGCAAAGAGGGACCTTGGCCTCAGCAACTCAAGTGGAGTGCTGTGCCATTGCTGTTTGTCCATTTGGTCCTTAATTTCAGAAGCGGTGAGCAGGAAGTCTCTAGGGGGCATTTCAGGTCGATTTTGGACTGAGGGTCCAAAATGAGTATGTACAAGCACCTGTATACTGTACCTGCATGACCAATTACTGGTCACGCATCACACGCACCTTCCGGTCCGGCTGTAAGTGGGCTGTTGTCATGCATCACACTGACCTTCCAGTTGAATGATCCTTGTCACACCATTTTTTTTGGTGCCTAAGTGGCTGTGTTAAATCGGATTAAATTCAATGAAAACACAAGCTGTCTGCAAGGAAGTAGTTTTTTTGGTGTAAAATGTATCAACACGAAAATTTGCCAGTTGGACATTTCCAGCGCCACTGTGGCTGGTGTCACACCAACCTTGCCACCTCTTCCGGTTGCTTGTCACACGTCACAAGGAGAAGCTGGTTGACTATTTTGTGTCGCACTCGGAACCTCAGCCGGTAATTGGTTGTGCGGGTACAGTATAGTGGGGAGACAAAAGCACAAGGAAATCGAAGGGTGTTAGATCGGGCAGATTCAGACAACTCTGGAATGGAATCGGAGACTTAGCATGGAAGGACCTTGGCCTCAGCAACTCAGGTGGAGCACTGTGCCATTGCTGGTCTGGGGGTCCCTAATTTCGGATCTAGCAAAGGAAAGTCTCTTGGGGGGAAATCAAGATCAAGTCGATTTCGGACTGAGGTTACAAGTTACTATGTACATTGTATATAAGGAGGGGTCTGGAATCAAAAGGAGCAAGGGTACTCCAAAAGGAGCTGGAATGAGGAACAACACCGAGGGTCAAGGGTTTGACTCAATGGTGTTTCCCAAAGGAGGAGTGAAGGGCCAAGGCCCAAGGAGGAAGGAAGGAGGATGGGAGTGGGGAATGGCTGACTGACTGAATAGAAAGGAAGCAACAGCCCAAATAGGAATGAGGGAGAGTAGCAGAATTGAATGGAGCAATGCAATAGTTGCAAGGTCCGAAGTAAGTCCGGAAAGTCTGAACTCGGAAGTTAAACTCCGGAATATTGGCAAAGGCAATTAAATGGAATGAGCTAACCAATACAATGGGTATAAGCAGAGGTGGAGTCAAAGTCCGAGGTTGGAGCTAAGACTGGAGGTTCCGGAGACAGAGATGCAAACAGGATTCTGGAGTGGAGGTCCGGAGTCAGGAGCATAGGTGTTGCATACTCATCTGGAAGGTGTCAAGGTTGGGGTCGGACCCGGAATGTTCCGGAGTCGGACCGAAGGTGGTGTCAGAGCTGGAGGTGGGATAACCTCTTGGAAGTTGGCAAGGAGAAGGTGATGGAAGGGAAGTAGGACTCCAGAAGTCAGGTTCGGAGTTCTGGAGCCTGGAGCGGAGGTCAGGATTGTATGGATATGACAAAGGGGGTCAGAATCGGAACAAAGGCATCCAAATGGAGACAAGGGGATGATGGAAGCAGAGCGGTACTAAAGGTCATGGGTTAGACTCTGTGATCCATCCAAAAGGAGGTAGGGAGGGCAAAGCCCAGAGGGGCAGGAGGATGAGGTGAAGTGGGGTTGATGACTAACTGGCTAAAATGGAAGGAAGCAGTAGTCCAAATAGGGATGAGGGGAAAGTGTGAAGGATACAGTACAAGCGGTGAGAGTGCTGAGGGCATTCTGTAAAACTCAGAGGTAGTGGAGCTTACAGAGGTTATGGAGTCCAAGTTGGAAGTCTGAGAAATATTGGCAATGGAGTTTACATGAAGTGAGGTCACCAATACAATGGACTTAAGCTGAGGTGGAGTCAAAGTCTGAGGTCGGAACCATGACAAGATCTCAGAGCAAAGGTATGAGTGGTGTCCAAGTACAGGGTACAGGACTGTGGTGGAAGGTTGTAACTTTGGCAGAGGTTGGCAGAAGAGGGGTGGAGGAGAGGAGTAAGAGGAGTGATGTCAGGTCCGAAGGAGGATATCAGAGTGGACGGGGATAAGGGAGGAGAGGGATGGAAGGTGAGGAGAGGAGTGGCATCATGTCCGAAGGCAGATATCAGAGCGGATGGGGGTAAGCTAGGACTCTGGAGGTGGTGGAGAGGGTCCAGAAGTTGGATTGGGATCGGGTATGTATGGATATGACACACTGCATGCTCTGTGCGCCACATGATCTGGCCCCAGATCCTGCCCTCATGTGACTTCCAGGTATCCCCAGAAGTTTTCGCCATATTGGGGCCACTGTGGGAAAGTGAGAAGTTAACCTCCTTCTCACTTTCCTACCCACAGTATAGTTATGCCCTGAGATGGGCTGTGTTTTCAGGTTAGGCTGTGGGCCATAGAGAGGGGTCATGGGGACCCAGGGTTCATCCCCTGACACACCACTCCCTTCAACATTACTATACCCTGTCCCAGTTCCCTCCACTGTTCCACTCCACTTCCACTTCCACTGCCCCTGCTCTGGACTAGTCCTTGACACTGGCACCCTTAGCCATCTCCACCCCAGATGCTCGGACCTGAGCCAGAACCTTCTATCCATTTCATTTATTGGAGTCACCCAATATTCCTTGGATGTGTAACTCCAGTTTCAGAGCTATGTATCTGCATCCCCAGCGACTCTACCCTTCACTTCTTGATTAGTCATCTTCTGTTTCTCTCATGACTGATGTCTTCTTTCAATTCAGTTGGCTAACCTTGGTTACCCATTTCTTTTTCCCATTCATTCCTTGGCCTTCTTCTCTGCCCTCCTTGTCCTGACACTGTCATATCCATACAATCCTGACCTCCGCTCCGGGCTCCCAGAACTCCGAACTCCGACTTCCGGAGCCCTACTTCCCTTCCGTCACCTTATCCTTGCCGACTCCCAAGAGGTTATCCCACCTCCGGCTCAGACACCACCTTCGGTCCGACTCCGGAACATTCCGGGTCCGACCCCAACCTCGACACCTTCCAGACGAGTACGCAAAACCTATGCTCCTGACTCCGGACCTCCGCTCCGGTATCCCGTTCATGTCTCGTCTTCGGAACCTCCGGTCTTAGTTCTGACCTCGGACTTTGACCCCACCTCCGCTTATACCCATTGTATTGGTTAGCTCATTCCATTTAATTACCTTTGCCAATATTCCGGAGTTTAACCTCCGAGTTCGGACTTTCGGACTTACTCCGGACCTTGCAACTATTGCATTGTCCATTTCAATTCCGCTATTCTCCCTCATTCCTATTTGGGCTGCTGCTTCCTTTCTATTCAGTCAGCTAGCCATTCCCGACTCCCATCCTCCTTCCTTCCTTCTTGGGTCTTGGCCCTTCATTCCTCCTTTGGGAAACACCATTGAGTCAAACACTTGACCCTCGGTGTTGTTCCCCTTTCCATCTCCCTTTGTCTCCTTTTGTCCTACCCTTGTTCCTTTTGATTCCGGACCCCTCCTTATATACAATGTACCTAGTAACTTGTAACCTCAGTCCGAAATCGACATGAATTCCCCCCCAAGAGACTTTCCCTCTGCTAGATCCGAAATTAGGGACCCCTAGGACAACCAGCAATGGCACAGCGCTCCGCCTGAGTCGCTGAGGCCGAGGTCCTTCCATGCTAAGTCTCCGATTCCATTCCGGAGTCGTCCGAATCCCCGCATTCTAACAGACACCTGGGTTCCCTGTTCAGGTTATCCCTTGGCACCTTTCAGAACCTTTCAGTACCTTTTGGACTTTGTGTAAAGTCCTCTATATATACCTGTAGTTTAGAAACCATTGTACCTTAGTGTTAGACGCTGGTCCAGGGTTGGCACCAAAGGTTGCCATTGCAGGCTGCTATAGGCCGCGATGGCCATGATGCCATGAACAAGGCCTGAGGGTAGGGCATTTGGCCTCAGCGACTCTAAAGGAGCGCTGTGCCCCCTAGCTGTCTCTTGGCCCTCATTTCAGACTCACTGGGGTTGCCTTGCTGGGGTCAGGACTTGGGGGTCATGGTCAAATCGATATTAGAGCTAAAGTACTATAATGTATCATACAGGATATATATAGGAAGAGGAAATAGGCTTCTTCTCACTTTCACACTTCAGACTAAGTGGTCAGGGACACTCACCCCACAACAGGACCACCACTATGCACAGCCATTTCTCGTCCCACCAAGTCCCCAGCACCAGGACTTTGCTGCTTTCAGAGCTGTCCCTGACAAGATGTTACACATAGAGACTAACATTACATGCAGACAAAGAATTTGAGGAGTTGTACATTGACAGTACCTATTCATCACCATGTGTAGTGCTGTTGCCTCCATGACGTCCATAACCTCTGCAACTGCTGCTACCCTGGGCTCCACCTCTCTGGGCTCTCCTTCCACAACTAACTTCTCGAGAACTGTCATTTCCAGAAGTGTCACCTGTGTGGGCCTGGCCTCTGCACCCATACCTTGTCTCCCTCCCCTCATCCAGGCTGACTGGGGTAGCCACCACTTCAGTCTGTACATCTGGTTCTGGACCTTCTGCAAAATTGTCAGTACCAAAATATATAAGGAAAAATGGCTGAACACACGAGGCATTTCAGAGGAAACATTAACATTGAGTGACACTGGATCTGCTTCCTATGGTAATTTTTTAGTACTCACACAGTGTGGAACTCTAGCCTGAATCAATTCCTGCAAATCTGATGGAAGACTCACATTACTGCCACTAAGCTCCATTTCTTCAAGAAGAGCACTCAGGCCCAAAGAAAGACTTCCAGCTCGTCCTGATGCATGTGCATCTCCTGCTCCTGCAGGAGGACCAAACAACAAATGCTTGTACCAATCCATGGTCTTATGCATTGGTTGGACTGTGGTCATTTTCTCTCGGTGAAGTAGGGTAAGGATAAAATGGTAGAAGTTGAGAAGGATATCAACATAGTTGGTGGCACTGGGCTTGCCAGAACCAGAAACCATCTCAGTGTCACCAGACAAAATGAAATAAACCTGTTGTTTAGATATAATTGGTCAGCACAAGATTCTCAAGCAGAATTCTACTTATGGCATACCAGCATTGAAACAATGGCCAAAGTGCCAGGGGTTATTTCAGTTACCTCATACATACTCCCTAGTGCCCTTTGTAATGCATATAATTTTGCAGGCTCCCAATTCTCAAGCTCAGGGGATCCTGGAAAGGGGATGGAAGAAACAGGGCCATTGAGTGCAGAAGGACCAAAAATAATAACAATTATCCCCTTGTTGTAGCACTGTGAGTAAAATAATATGTATAACCCACAAGTGAAATACTTACAGCTGCAAGGACCTGTGAGTGAAACACATGTTGATGATGAGATCGGTCATTGTCTGGGAACAAGAACAAAGGCAAGTGGTCAAAGGGGTTGGTAGAATCAGGGATTACTCCCAAATATTCTTGAAGTTGTTCCACAGTTGGGCCATGACCCAACTTCAGCACTGGTATGCTTAGGTCCATGCCAAACAGTTGAAAACTTGATTACCGCAAGCAGCTCATCATTTGCCGCCTTCGTGCCCCAACAGCTGAAACAAACTAGTTGTACCAGACATGCCTAATTAGTGAAAGCCACAAGGAGAATCACTAGCACATGAGTACATACCTTTGCTGACCAAGGCATAGCTCCAGAATGAGTGCAGAGCTCATTTGTTAAGATAGGATATTTCATTGTGAGAATTTTGTGGACACAGAATTGATTGAAATTTTCAACAGATGAAAACATTTCTGTTGGTGCCCATGAGTGGAAATCACTGCTGAGTTCCACCAGAAGGGAAGCTTTTGATAAAAAAGGAGAATGGAAAATGGCATAAAGGGCTGCATATTTTGTGATCGAAGTCTCAATGCTTTCGAAAGTAGAGGCATCACCAGGGGTAGGGTCATCACTATCAGTGCCATTGTTGTTGGTGTCTCCAGCAACTTCGCTGTCATCAGCTTCACCATGCACATCAGTGTTGATGGGCAGATCAGACACAGTAGGTGGTTGCACTGGTGTAGAACTAGATGGTGCCTGGAAGCCATGGGATCAGAAGGCAGTAGAGCTTGGTGAGGCAGACATAGCAGTAGTGCTTGTGCTAATGAACCTAGTTGTGATTAAGGCTGGGGGAAAGGAACATCCCCAGTAAGTCTCAGCTATATACATGAAGAGCATGGTATTTAGGAAACCAAACAATACACCGGGATCACATGACCATAGAATATGCAAGAATATCACAGGGTGCAGGTAATCGGCATGTATGAATATAACCGGTAATATTCCCACGCATGTACACACAATTGGTCCATCAGCACAGTATCAGATTGTACAACAGTGCTGTGGTTGTTTTATGGGTGGATAGATAGCCAAAATTAGATTGCTCACATCTAATACTACCATACATTGAGTAAAATAGTAATATGTGGTACAGCGCTGACAGATGCGGCAACGGGTAATGGAATGTGTGACAAACGGCACTGGAGATGCCCCACCCAACCTAAATGTTGCACAAGCCCAATCAACTTGATGGAAGCGGTGGGAGGAAAATGGCTTGCAGATATGAGGTAGGATGCCAGACAGGGGGAGTTTGCAACAGTTCGGCCCGACACCAAATTGCCGATGGTGATGGTGTGCAATAGTTGAAGACCCCGGAGGTGATGGCAATGGCCATGATTTGGTGGGTGTGGGTGGTGTTGTGGCGGTAGTTGGAAGGTGCCCATGCCGGTCGGGTTGGTTCCAGGAAGGCCAGGGCATTATGATACAGTGGGTATGGAGTGGGGAGTGATGAGACAGCGGTGAGGATTCAATGTTGGTCAGCACAATGTACAGCAATGTCAAGGCAGTACCTGCGATATGACACCCAACGTCCCCATGTCATACCCAGGTGAGCCATTTCACAACATACTGAATGTTATGCACCTAATACCACTGAACAACCCCTCTCCATGGCGTCGAAGTCACCCAGCGCTCTGATCCACCTTGCCTGCAAGTGAGCAGGTATGGATTTTGGGCGAGATCTAGGTCGTGCAGGGTGGGGGTGCGTTGCGCAGGTTGATCGATAAGATGTTGATTGTTGGATGGTGGTGAAGGGATAGGCACAATTACAGATTGTGCAAGTGTGATACTAAGTTGCACAAATGATCGATCGGGTTTTGTGGTTGAGGCAAGTGGAGAGATGGAGGGAAAATGGGAATGAGATAATGTGAGAACAGCGACACTCTCTGATAAGGAAGTGACCCGGTAAACACAATGAAAGGCGAAATGGGAATGGAGGAGGATAATGCCGAAAGTAGAACAGCGGATTCACTCTATGAGCCTGGTTCGGAGTCTCTCCGATGTCTCTAGCTGTATATAAGAAACCTAAGGTTGACCCTGAATCAGTAAGGGCTCGCTGGCTGAGTGGTAATGTATGTATTCTTGTAGTCATAGTATATTGTGTAATACATTGTATGTCAGCCTAACGCTCCCATGGTAACTCCAAGGTCCGGTGTTCGAGTCCCAAGTACGACAATGCAATATAATAAATTACTTTTTACCGCAATACAACCCCTAGTGTTGTAATGTATTGAAACCTAATGGGTCACGTTGTAATGTATTTAACCCAATAGGCCATGTTGCAATGGAACCAATGTATTGCAATGCTGTGGGTCATGTTGCAATGTATTGGGCCCCGGCCTCTGCCGTTGCAATGTTTAAGTGTTCGATGCAACTGTTGCATCGCCCCATACCTGTTTTGGTCATTGCATCACGTTGCAATGTATTGATGCGGATTTGAACTTTTTCCGACACCCATAAATGGCAGGGGCCAGGCAGAGTGGACCTAATGGAGTTACAGGTTAGCCAATTGAAGGTAGACTTGCAGGGCAGGCAACTAAATTACCCAGTGGAGGCAAGGGTGTCACGGTGTCACGGCCATGCATTCCGGCCCATTAGCCGCCCATCCCGATGCCGCCCGAGCCCGTTCCCGCTATGCGAGCGTGAGCGCGAGCCCCAACCTCAGCCCTATCCTCCCTGAGGACTCCCTGCTCACTTCCCCGCTTGCCCCTAGGCTCCCCTACACTTGGCCAACTCCCCTGCTGCTGCACCAACCTTCCCACCCTGAGTCCGCCTCCGGCACCATGCCCAGCGCAACTCCCCTACCCCGCCCACTTGGCCCCTACAGGGCCACTATCATCCCCGTGCCCGACTCCGGCCCAACTCCGAGTCCAGCGCCGCTACGATACCATCGCCGCTATCGCGGCCCTATGCTCTTTCCTTTATTTATCTGTTATTGTTTGTTTTGACCCTCGGTCATTGCCGGCCGCTATGCGGCCAACCCCGCTCCTTCTTCTTGTTTGCTTCTGGACCCTTCGGCCTCCGGCCCGGGTCCGCTTCCATTCATTTCTTCTTCCTATATATATCCTGTATGATACTTTATTGTACCTTAGCTCTAATATCGATGTGACCACGACCCCTAAGTCCTGACCCCAGCAAGGCAACCCCAGTGAGTCTGAAATGAGGGCCAAGAGACAGCTAGGGGGCACAGCACTCCCTTTAGAGTTGCTGAGGCCGAATGCCCTACCCTCGGGCCTTGTTCACGGCATCACGGCCATCGCGGCCTATAGCGGCCCACATAGGCGACCCTCGGTGCCGACCCCGGACCAGTGTCTAACACATGGCCATGCATTCCGGCCTGTTAGCCACCCGTCCCGATGCCGCCCGAGCCCATTCCCGCTATGTGAGCATGAGTGCGAGCCCCGACCTCAGCCCTATCTTCCATGAGGACTCCCTGCTCACTCCCCCGCTTGCCCCTAGGGGGGCTTCTTTTTTGGTTGTTCTTGAGCTCTTGCTCGAGTTTTCCATCCATGTGATCTCGTCACATGGTCTTCGCTGACTCCAAGGGTATCTATGTTGCCCTTGTTCACTGTTCTCACTTTGTGGGACCAGAAGTCTAAGCTTACCTGGTTTTTGTTTAACCAGGGGGTGCCGAATATGGCATCGTATCTATCGATGTTAATTACATCGAAGTAGTGTTTTTCTGCATGGCCGTTGATCTCAACGTCCATGTTTGTTCCAAACAGGATCTGTGATCTTGTTCCTTTTGTCCCCATTTGAAGGATGACTGGGTTCTCCAGTTGGAGAATTGAGATGTGCTCCATGTGGACAAAGTCCGGCAATATAGCGTCTGTTTCGGCTCCAATGTCGAATAGCACATAGGCTTTTATGCCTGCTATTTTTATGTGAGCTGTCAGCGTTCTCTGTGTTGAGAGTGGTCTGTTTGTGGGGTATTTTCCTGCGTCTTTTGAGATGCGGAATTTTGCATCAAACAAGGGGGTCTGGGTTTTGGTGAACTTTTGGTCCTTCCCTTTCTCCTTGTTTTCCTTGGGTACTTTGGTGTATTTCCCCAAGGCATCTTTTTTTGGTGCTTCCACCAAGGATTCGGCGACTTTTTTGTCTGCCATGTTTTCTAACTGGCATGCTACAGCCAGTTTGATTTTGTAATTTATGTCATCATGATCGATGACTGACATTGGGCCCATCCTTATGGTCCCAACATTGACTTCCTCACCCTCTGAGTCGGGTGAGTATTTTCGTATGGGTCCTCTACTTCGAAGCTTGATGCTCCGGAGTTACCAGAGTTGTTCTCTGGTTTCTCGTCTGATGAGTCTTCCGACTCTTCTTCTGTTGTGGTCGCAATCTCCATGGCAGCTATGTGCCTTGGTTTTTCATCGCTTGTTGCATTGTGTCTTGGGCAATCTTTTGTTTTCCCTATTTTGCCGCATTTGCTGCAAATTGGAACTGACTTTTGGTCGGTTTTTGTTACGGATACGGAGTCTCCAACGACCATATCCGTTGCATGGTCAAAGACTTCCCCTCTCTATCACTCCTCCCCTCTTTCTCCCTTCCGTCCTCTACCCCGATACCCTATCCCCCTTACCCGTTCTACCCCTTTCCCCCCCTCGTGCAAAGCTTTCCCCATTGGGGTTTTGGTGCTGGCCGAGGTTGTTTGTGTTTCGCGGGATTTCCCACAACCTTACCATTTGTAGATAGTCACGCGTCATGTACAGAAACCGCTGAAGGCGGTTCCCGCTAACTAACAACTGCTCTACAAACTGTCTCGTGTACCGTCTTCTGTATCAACCCTCCCTGTGACTCAACTGAACTCGTGTGACTGTACAACTCTCGATATGTCTTATAAGTCTGGTTATATCGAGTCCTCTAACGGCCCTCGCTGTGAGAACTCAAGGTCGAGAGTCGAAGACTCTCGACATGTGTACCGTCCTATTGAATCTGTACCCTATGGGTCTTCATCACTCCGCTCTCCCCCCAATACTCAACCTACGACGTCACCTCACGATCATGGAGATCATGAGTACTTTGAAGCCCACCTTCCCGTGATGCCGGCACGTTCGCTACACGAACGCCAAGTCGCCACCCATCCACCGTCTGTTCCTTCCTTCGCCAGTCATCATGTTTCCCCGCCAACAGTACGTTCCCTTTGGGAACGCCAAGTCACCGAAGGCCCTACTAGTCAATCCTCATTGCACACTTATGACATCAACCCGCTACCGGTACATTCGCACTGCGAATGCCAAGTACCTGATGGCAACTATATGAAGTTCTCACCCGTCTCGCAAGTCGCGACCTCGCACACGGTACGCTCCACTGAGGAGCGCCAAGTACCCGTGGCTGACCCGTCCGTCCTGGCATCTCCG